GGGGGGGGGGGGAAGAGCGGATGACTCAAAGGAGGGAGCTCGTCTTAGATGGGCAACCTGTGGCATAAGTTCCGCCAGCCGCGCTACAACGCGGTAGAGTTTTCCTCGCGTGCACTTCTTTTTGAGAAACCGTCCCATTAGCCAAGCCTCTCCCCTCCACCCTGTTCCCCAAATAAAGTTATTGGTCCTATTGCCAAACCCAAACCGAATGCACGAGGCGTGGGCACGCCGTCGGGTGGTCCGCATCTCTGCAACTGTCCCGGCAGGGCTCAGGTTTCTAACGCCTCGGGTCTTTTGCAGAAGCAATCCGAAATAGGTTTTGTTAGAAGTGGAAATTGAAGGTTGGGGGGGGGCTGGGGGCTGGGGGCTGTGGGGGGGGTGAGTGGGGGCATGGACAGTCCCTGCAAAGTTCACCAGAATGAGAGTAGATCCAGTCCGGCCATGTCTAATGAGCTGCTGCTGTGAGCAGATTGTGGAAGGCACACGCTGCTCGTTTGCATTTCTATGGAGACCTCACAATAGCGGAGGTCTGGCGTGTGGCAGTTTGGAGCGCAGACAATTGAGGCTTTCTCTTCATAGCTGCACTGTCCACCTGCCACTGGGTGAAGATTTGCTTTGGGGCTGAAGGGGAGGCGGGGAGGGGTGCGAGGAGGGAGGAAAGGAGAGGGGGGGGACAATTGCATTACTCTCTTGGGTCGGCCAATCTGCTCCTGCTGATGAATGTCTCCACTTGCACACACACACACACACATACAGACACACATTTCCAAAGTGCAATTGAATTTGGAGGCTTTCGGAGCACGCGATCGTCTCCTTCTCAAAAGGCCCAGTTATTCGGCCTTTTGTCTTTGCCCCGAGCCGTGCTTTCATTTGGCCTTTTGTCTTTGCCCTGAGGCCACACATTCAGACATTGCAGGACATCATTTAAGCACACTTGGCCTGTGGCCCCCTCAGCTTAACGGGGGCCAGTCTTAATGAAGCGGAAAGCAAAAAAGGGCTACTACACCTGTTCTCAAAAAAGTGGACTCCAAGTTCACCTTTGGAAGTGAGAAATGAAGATTTCAGATCCAGGTGAAAGGAAGTTGTTTGGGGGAAGGGCATGATTCACTTAACAGAATTCACTGCAACAAGACACCAGCTTGGAAGACAGGAGGCAGATCTTGGATGAAGGGTGGGCAACTATTGCAACTTTACCACATGCAGTCATGGACTTGCAGAATTCCTGAGCCAGCCAACGTCGACTCAGGAATTCTGGGAACTGAAGTTTGCAGATTGCCCACCCATGTCTTGAACAATGAAATTATCAGTGGCTGTTAGGCATATTAATGAATGGATGACTGAGGAACATGAGTGCAAGTTTTATATTGTCCTCCTGGCCTGCTTGTAGAATTTCCACTGAAGCAACAGAATGCTGGCAAAGTGTTCTTTGCAATTAACGATAAGGCTCAAGGGAGGAAACATCTAATTGTTTGTTGGATTATTTAAAAAAAAACTTTTTCAAATAGAGAAAAGAGTACAATTTGTCTTGTGAATTAAAGAAATGAACATCCTGCACATGCTGAGGTCTCCCCTACTTTTTTTTCTCTCTTGTGTCTTATTTCTTTCATTTCAGCAATTGTAGGTTAACAGCGCTACCTGCTGGATTAATGATGCACATCTTTCAGATTATAATAATTGGCTAAAATCAAGTTTCTAAGAGGGAAAGAAAAAAGTCTCCCAGTGGATAAAGTGCAGGGTTTTTTTTTCCTGCTTACAACAGATTAAAAAGCTGATGTTAACTCTTTTTGCATATTCTACCTACACTCTGGGGTTTTTAGTCTTTTTGTTCGGGCACATGAAAGCAGCTGTTTCTATGTATTAGCTCCTTTGAAAGGAGAACCCTTTCTATATCAAATAGAATTGTGCCACCTTGTGGATATACAAATCATGGCTTCCAGAAAGAATAAAGTTGGATGCAACTTAGCTTACAAAATCATAACCAAGTTCTATTGAAAATATGCTCCCAAGAGCACCTACCTAAATTACATACTGTAGATAAGAAATGTCATGAGTTAATACAATCAATTTATGAAGTTATCCAGTCTGTTCCTAAGATAGATAAGATAACCTTTATTGTCATTTTTTTACTGTGGGCACAACGGCACACATCAAAAAATGAAATTTAGTTGCCCGCTCTCAAAGTGAAACACATACATGACACACACCTAAACATACTCTATACAACATAAACAACATACAACATAGCCAGCACTCTTTCTAAAAAGAAGAGAGGCAGGTGGAAGCTCCCAATCAGAGCAATTGTACTAGAGAGCAAAGAGGACCACAGACATTTAGCAGCAAAAGAGGAGTGAGAGAGAACCACGCTGGCCTCCCACCTCCAGAGATAATAATGCCAAGGTGAATTTAATAATCATGTGAGGAAACTAGAGATCCAAATGCTGCAAAATGGTAACATATGGCTTTGAGAGCAAAGAGTGTTTAAAGAAAGAATCCAAGTTGGCAGTAATAATTTGTATGACATTGCCAATACTAATTAGCATGACAAAAAACTGAGGACTGGGTGATTTTCAATTAATTGCAGTGTGGATTTGTGCTTGGGGCAATGAGGTCTAAATTCTGAAGAAACCAGTTTGCTCCACTGAAACAAAGGTAACTGAATTAGAGCAAAGAAATGTGTAAATAGAACTTACTGGGTCTGGTTGTTTCATCCCATTCCCAAGATACCAGCTGTTAGGGAGAACAAAGATCTTCAGGGAGAAGGACATCATTTCAAGTGTAAGAATGAGGTTTCAGGGAAAAGCTCTTTGGAAAAGGTCTATGAACTCACATTCTTATATCAAGGATACACTTCTGGAAATGGACAACTTTTAGTTGCAGATAATTTAGTCATTACAAATTATCTTCGAGTCAGGATGAGAATTTTAAGTGTTTAGTTGCAAAAGAGAATATAGATACTTTCTATAATAAGCTTGGTGGGATAAATTGAAATAGTGGAACATAATGATTACTAGACACAGACTTTAAAGAACAAGGTTTAGAATGCTGTTGTATTTATATCAAAGAAGGTATACAATTTATGGTAGTACAAAACATTGCAAGACAGAATCGCTGTGGATTGCAGTAACTGGCCACACATGTACCTTGTGTCTAGAAGAGTGATGGTGAACCTTTTAGAGACCGAGTGCCCAAAAACCGCTCTGCCCCGCCTGCTCGCAGGGCCACCCACTACCTCCAGCGCCATGGCTGCCATGCCCTCTGCCTGCGCCCTGCAGCAGCATCTGCGCGCAATGGGGCACGAGGGCGGAGTCTTGTCCCTGCTGCCCGGGTGCCATGTCCTTGGCTGTGCTGCTCAGTGCAGGCTGCACCTGGGGGCGACTCTCCTCCGGGAGGGCTGCTGGTGAGGAGGGGGTGCGAGGGGAGGCAGGGCTGGGGCAACAGTGTGCATGCCGACAGAGAGGGCTCTGAGTGCCGCCTCTGGCACGCGTGCCATAGGTTTGCCATCACTGGTCTAGAAATATATCTGATCAAATGCAAATTTAAGAAAAAGAAGCCAGAAAGGCACACAAAGGGGAAAATATTGAAATATTGATTTTTACACATATCCTCACATAACTTTGGTATATTCATGCTCAGGCTGCAGTTTCTTCTGCAATAAAGTTTCTCATCAAAGCTCTCTCAATAATCATGGGAAAAGGGGATCTGTTCTTTAATGCAATTTGATTGGGGAATTCTGAGAATTATAAAATTAGTTTTGGTTTAACCTTTGGATTGATTGACACAATAAATCTGAAGTTGCTAGATTGATTTATTTGTTTTTATTGTTAAAATGATAATTTCCAATGTTAAACAAATGCAGGCAATGCACAATAATACTATTATTATATCATATTACTAATATCAAAGAAATTGCGTAGTATATTCAGTGGCCACAAATTAAAACAACAAGTCCAGATCACCCCTAAGTATCTTATAAACTGGGTTCAGATTGGAAGGTAGGAATGTTGCTTTTCTGGAAAAGCAATTAAAGTACACAAGTGAGATAAGTAGCACAACATGAGATATTACATAGTCACTTGTTCAGCTAGAGAGTTTTGTTTGTCTCATTCATCTAAGAAAGAAGTCTGCGTCTGATTTCTTCCTCCCACAACAGTCAAATAGTAAGGATAGCTCTTTAAAAGACATATTTAGAGATAGGCTGAGCAGCTGGGAGATTGTTTGGAGACCGTATGCTTTGCCTGACCTAAAATAAATGACACAAAAGAGAGCTTTCAAAGGTCACCAAATGACTTTTTCTTAGTCGGCATTTCTCTGCCTATAAAAGGCCATTAGCAAACATTTTTTAGAGCACTGGGAGAAGGAA